ACACTGAATTTATTATTTTTATTATTATATATTATTTTGAATTATTATTTTTTTGTGTGCCACACCAAGATTTAGTGTGGCCTCTTCTGGCCACCCCTAAGAAAATTTTCTGGGGGCGCCACTGCTTACAGTTTAATAATAATTATGTTCCAGAGAATTTTAAAATGCATAGCAAGCATGATTTGACAAGACAGCTCCAGAATCTCTCCCAGTTCTGTGCTGGGTTCGGTTAAAATCTCCCTAAAACAGATGCTGTGAACTACAACCTGTAAGTGTTTTTGGTAAAATTGATCATGACATGTACAGTGTTTAGCGTTAACGGTATGCTGTAGCAACGATGTAAACAAGGGGAAATGCTGTTTTGCACCGCAAACAATTTAGCTATAAATTCATATTTATCATTCAAACTGCTGTAAACACACACAAACACACACTTCACCAGCATGTTAGTGTCTCTCTATCTGTGTGCGGGACTTTGCATTGATTTTCTTTAAGCAGCTTTTCCATGCGTTTTACATCTCAGATAATGAAGTCACAAAAGATATGTGGATGATTCATATTACTTACACCTGCATATTCCGGATATATGTGAAAGACGTTGTGTAACGCGTTGAGGTAAAAAATTACAGGATAGCTCACCTATCTCGTGTAGCAGCAGAAAAATAAATCAAAGCTCACACGGGTCGCATCCCACATCTTGTGCTTTATTCCTCTGTCACGATATCTTACAGAAAATAACTTAATCCGAGCATCAGAGAAAAAGAAAGTTCACACATTCACACACAAACATAGACACACACAAAGACGAGGTCTCTTAAAGGAGCTGCACCCTATTTTCACTCGTCACAGACACTTGTCAGAATTTTATTTTAGAGAGCGGGCAGGAGGTTGACTACTTACACAGCAGCAAAGCGTGTGCTTGTACGGACGTGACGTGGAGCCGATCTGCGAATCGCAGCACATTATGAGGATAACCAATCAGAGTCACTTGAGGGCGGGCCTTTCAGAGCAACTAGG